TGCATGATAGTCTGGTCCTAATTTAGTTTTCATGTTCGTTAAAGTACTCATTGGTGTTCCATGCGCTCTTGAGTCTAATCAAATTAATTAAGAAAATAATTAAGAAAGTAATTAACAGTTTATTACAAAAAAATAAAATAAATTTCTTTCTAAATATTTATTTAAAATTTTGAAACAATTTTAAAAGAAATTTTAAAAGAATTTTTTTGAAGAAATTTGATAAAAAATGAAAATGTTTGAAATTACAATTGTTCCCTTTTAATTTTGCTCTAATACATTCTTATTATTTACATGTTTTGATTTAATTCAGATTTTTTTTTAAAGCTATCTAATATTGTCGAGAATTACTAACGTTGAGTCCCTACACTGCTTGGTGTCGATTGGTTGGTAGTATTGATACCAGTATTTGATTTGTGGACCTTATTGCCATTTGATTGGTTTTTAGTACTGATACTGGAATTTGATTGGTTGACCTTATTGCCATTTGACTGATTGTAAGAATTGATATTTGATTGGTTGGTCCCTTTCTTATTATCAAATGAGCTATCTCCTTTAAATCAAAAATATTTATTAATCAAATTGTTATCAGTCCTGCTTTAAAAACCTTTTTAAGAAAAATATGGAATCTTTTTTTTTTTTTTATCTTTTTTTTACTCTTTAATTGAAACAAGTTAAAATTTATAAAACATCAACATAAAATATTCTAAGGCTGGATATGGTGTTTCAGACAGTACATTATGCAAATGATTTTCAGATTTGGTTCTGAACATAGTTTTTATATTGGTAGCCAGAATGCATGTGTGGAAGAGTTCAATAATATGTTGAGGGGTGTTAAATGGATGACAGAAAAAAAAAACACCCTTAATTACACAAATGAGCTTTTCCAATCATACATATATAGTTTTATATTGGTAGACAGAATGCATGTGTGGAAGAGTTCAATAATATGTTGAGGGGTGTTAAATGGATGACAGGAAAAAAAAAACACCCTTAATTACACAAATGAGCTCTTCCAATCATACATATATAGTTTTATATTGGTAGACAGAATGCATGTGTGGAGGAGTTCAATAGAAAGTTAAGGGGTGTCAATTATCCAGGTACATTATATCCAGCCTTAAATACACTATATCCAACTGTGAATATTAAACAAGACATAAGAAAGTGTACATTAAAATATAAAGACACTAAAGAGAAAAAGTTGACCTACCCATATCTTTGTAGGATAAAGGAGCTGGTCCATTCCCTTTAAAACCTTGATTTCTACCTGCACCTGCACGACCCCCTCCCACTTCCGTGGCAGATCCGAATTCACCACTAGGAGAGGCTCCAGCTAAGAGAAAGAGAAAGATCAAGACCCAATACACACTATGACTGATGAATGAAAATCTGATTGTGAATATGACTGAATGAAAACCAAATAACAGGCCAAATAGGTAGTGTGTATTGAGCTCCAGACAAGAAAAGATAGATATCAATCAAGGATCCACTGGTTTATAAAAGAGATATAACCAATATAGGCCTACATGCATTCAAATTCATTAGTTTTCTAATTTATTTTTGAAGATTCTTATAAAACCAGTGGAAATGAGCAACAGAATTGAATTTATTGCCGAAAACTGGAATACCAATTTCTGAATGTATAACACCCCTAATTTTTGTTATGGACTCATCCAATGCATGTGCTGGAGATTCCACTATTT